AAAAAGTCACCGTGGATGGCATTTACGATCGCCTGACGGAAAAGCGGCTGCTAATAATACAGGTCTATGGATGCCTCAGCACAAAGTGACAAGCAAAGTTAGTAAACATGAAATTGTCGATCCCTCCCAACTTGCAAAAGTGACTCATTCGACTCCTGCAACTGTAGTCAAAAGGAGATTACCACCAGAAGTAGAAGTGACTGTTGTTAACCCAAATAAGAAAATGCGTTCCGATGATTCAGTAGAATTAGAGCAGCAGAATTCCTCCACTGGAGCAGAAGATAGATATTGCACAATATGTGATAAAGAGTTCACAAAACGAGCGGCTTATCAACGTCACATGGATGAGGTACATCAACCAAACTCTGTATTCTGTCCTGTTTGTGACAAGAGTTTTACGCGGAAATCGACGCTGATTGTTCATATGAAGAAACATTACGAAAGTGGTGAGGGTAGTTCAACTGCAGCTGATCAGATGGAGGATGAGGTTCACGCATGTGACCTTTGTGGCGTTCAATATGATAATGAGAGTGCCCTTAGAGCCCACCGAGCAAGGCATCATGGTGATGAGTCAGGGGAGTCTGAAGATGATGGGACCAGTGTTCCACCTCCTGGCGAATTCACCTGCGCACAATGTGGGGATGGAGTCGCTACACCCCGTGATCTGATTGCACACCGCTCCATGCATGCTACTCCAACAAAATTCTTCTGCAACATTTGCAAAGTCTACTTTGCTAGAGCTATCGACCTCTCGTCCCACACACGAGCCAGACATGCGGACAATGAAAAGGTTTTTTTCCCATGTGCAATGTGTGACCGTTTTTACATGAACAAGAAGAGCTTACAACGGCACATTGAGATGGCTCACTGATCTTCGCCCTAGAACGTCGACTACCCAATATCACTTGATGAAGTTACAGTAGGTTCAAAGAACTCCGAATTAAATCTGGAATAGTGTGCGTAATTATTAAGGCGCAATGTTTATTACGGAGTCGACTTAGCACCAATAAATGTCTTAATTATTGTAATTGTATATACCACATGATCCTACGATCATAACTCGATGAGATAACAGTGTAACTACTGTCTTGGGAAAAATAATTTAAGTGTCGTATCAATGTCATTCCTAGACTACTTTAGTTGGTTTTATTAATGATAGTGAGGTTTTTTCTTTATTTTATTATTTTAAGCCTTTGCTCATTTGTCGTATTTATTACATTGATCTGTCCATTGTGATTTTGGAAGACTGTTACAAATCTGTTTTCTTGTAATGGTAATTATTAACTCACATTGGATAAGTCTTAGATGTACTTATCACAATTACGTATTTATGAATATGGTATTTATGTAAGGTGGAATAATGTATCTATTTCTATATATTTTATTATTGGAATCACGGGCCAAAATTTTATAATTAGTCAAAACCAGTCATAAATTAGCAGTCTTGATTTATGTTCTAAGTTGAAGTATCATTATCCTGAAATTGCTTTTCGGTGAGATCATTGTGATCAGCGACGATTTATTTTAATTTTTAAAATATTTTAATATTAAGAATTCAACTTACATGTAAATATTTTCATGTTATTGTTAGTTAGGATCTTGATGATTTTCGACTAAAACAGTCGTTTAAGTTTCGTTAAATTGTACTGATTATTTCATAGTAATTGCAAATGTATATTTTATACAAATAAACTAACCACTAATGGCGTACCTCCTCATCTATGGTGATAAACATTGGTATCTACATTGGGCCTACAAAGTTGTTACTGCTATTACTATACATATAGACAAAATTTGTATTGAAATTTGTTATAAATGAAACATATTAGTATAGTATTTATACTTTTGCACAGATAATAAAGTTTTAGTCTTTGTTTCGCGTTATCATCTTAAATCAAATAGTGCCAAAAATTTGCTTGATTCATTTTCATCGTAGGTAATTTTAGAATATACAATTATGTAGTTTTAATATAATAGGTACTGTAAATTAATTATATTGTAAAATAAAAATTCACTGTGTTTGTACAATGTTATTCTGAAACAAAAACAAATATTTTATGCATTTATGTACTTTCATGATTATACATGTTGACAGAAAGAATATATTACGGTTCTATGTTCTGATTAGAAAATATGCTTTATATTTATTTTTTATCAAAATGTTTGTTAGTGGTCTCACAATGATGTATTTTATGAATGTGGGCAGTTGTCTTAATTCTTGTGATGTCTCGATTCCGTAAATTTAACAAAATCTTTAAAAATATAATTGTGATATGATTTTTAATTTAAAACTTTAAAAAAGACTTAAGTTTCTCCTTTCAAATTGTATTGTTATTAGACTAACCATGCAGGTCTGTATACCTAATTATAAGAATCGTCATTCATTTTAATCTGTTATAATGAAAAGTAACAGATGGACTTTAATTTTATTGCACCAATATTAAAATTGTTGTTCTTGATTAAAAGGGATGTTCAATTAGGAGTAATTATGGTCCATAGATGAGGTTTACTTTTGTCATCTTTGTGGTTTGGTAAATAAAGTGACTTAATTGAAATGCCTTTTATTTTATTTAATCCATATTTTAACTCTAGAACCGCGACATAGGGTCGTGGATGACCCACGTATTTATTTTTAGGGTTCCGTACCTCAAAAGGAAAAAACGGAACCCTTGTAGGATCACTTTGTTGTCCGTCTGTCTGTCTGTCTGTCAAGACCCTTTTTCTCAGGAACGCGTGGAGGTATCAAGCTGAAATTCATATCAAATACTCAAGTCTACTGTCCCTTGGAGCTGTGAAAAAATCAAACTTCTAAGCCAAAGAAATCAAAAGATACACAGCCGTTTATGCCGCAAATTTTCGACATTCGCAAGGGAATCAAAACCTACAGGGTACTTCCCGTGAACTCAGAATCTTGAAATTTGGTACGAAGCAACGTTTTATAGCACAGATAAAGGAAAAATTGCGAAAAGCATAAATTTTTAGTTACATGATATAATAAAAATATTTTAAAAATAATTTTAAACTTATATACCTACGGATTTGTTCGGAACCCTCGGTGCGCGAGTCCAACTCGCACTTGGCCGCTTTTTTTTAAATTTGTTTTACTAAGAAATAACCTTGAATTCTGTGCATGAGGACTTCGTATTTAGCTGTATGTAGCCCGTGACATTTCGCTGAGTACGTTTATTCGTTTTTGTGTAATTACCTGTAGGGGTCACCCACGACTCGTGTTTTGATTAATGAAAAATTATTAGTCACTAACTTATCTATTTCAATTCTTCAAAAGAAATGACGAAATAGTGAACATTTTGACAGAATATGATGGTGCCTAAACCAGAGTGAGGGTGATATACGTAATGTACGTTGCATCTGAACTGAATGATGATGATGAACTTATGTTTGGGTAAAAAAAGAATGTCATATGTTGTAACGAACACTTAATGCCCGTAATCAATTGCGTCCCCTGTCCCCGTCACCACTAATTCCAGCAACCACTACTCCCAACACCACTACTCTAGGAAAGCCACCACCATCGACAAGACACGTCGACACGTGTTTCGTCTTTACACGAGGCATCTTCAGGTGCAGTAGTCTGCGGTGCTGACCGCTAAGTGCATAGCACTTAGCAAATTAATTTTTGACATGTTTAATGACAAAGAAGAACTTAATTGTTCTGTTTGAATTAATGTAGCAAGCAGTTTAGCAGTGTCTTATACGTTTAAAACATCTTAACAAAATTGATCAAGTATGTTGATGGACCACTTATTTTTAGAGCTACAATATCAAAAACAGGTTGGATTTTTTGGCAAATAAAGAATTATTAAAGAAATTCCACAAGTCAAAATAAGTAACTATGCCAATTTCAAAAAAAAAATATTGTAGTCTTGATTTCGACTGTTCTTGTAGTCTCGGGGGAGCCTGAACCCTAGAGAACGCGACCGCAGGTGGCGGGTGGGGGAAAGCTTGCTGAACGCACCGTTAGGGGTGTTTAGAGGGTTGGGGTGAAATAAAATAGCCCCCGCGGACCATACAGGCCGGACATGGACACTCCGTATCAAACCCCTGCAGAGAGCTTCTTCGACATACTTGGAGGTGAGGTCTACGCAGTGCTGAGCGTTTAGGCTGGAATGCTCAGTAGGGATGGTGGCGAAAGAACCCATGGTCAACGGCAGCGCCCACACCTTGCGGGTTAGGTACAGTCATGGCGTCAGGTGACAACCGGCCGTAAAACTACAGTCAAACACTCTTCTCCTCGTTAACATGAAAAAAGGTAATATAAAGAAAGTGAATATAGCTAGGGCGTACCCCAGAAGCGACGTGAGTGAGAGTAATGTGAAATATGCGGATAATGAAGAATATGTTAGGACGTTCCCCGTAAGCGACGAATATGACAAGAACTACAATTCGCATATTTTAATACAATCTAAAATAAGATTAGCTACGTGGAATTTGGGCACACTAACAGAAAAGGGCCAAGAGCTCGCGAAAGTATTACAGGCACGAAAAATTAACATATTATGCTGCCTACAAGAGACCAAGTGGAAGGGGTCGAAGTCACGAGATCTGGGACTCGGATACCAGTTCTTGTACTGTGGCAATACTAGTATGCGTAACGGCTATCTATAACGGCGTAGTTGCCATGGTCTTGGATGAAAACCTCAAACAACGTATTATTAACATAGATAGAAGGAACAATCGACTTATGGCAGTGAAATTGGCTATGGATAACCAACCCCCCTTGAACATAATCTCGGTATACGCACCACAGACCGGGTGTGGTGAAAGTGAGAAAGAAGCTTTCTGGGATGAGTTTGAGTCTGGGACTTACTAATCTCAATGGCACCCGAGGAACTAAAATATATCGGAGGAGACCTGAACGGTCATGTTGGAGCCAGTAACACGACGTACAAGGAGATACAAGGAAAGATACAAGCCCATTTCTATTTAACCTATCTCTGGATTATCTAACTAAAGACATCCAGTCCCCCCTCCCGTGGTGCATGCTATATGGGGACGATATTGTGCTCATCGACAAATGTACGATTCAACTGCAAGCGACACTCGAGCAATGGAGACGGGCTCTCGAGAACAATGGCCTCCATATAAGCAGGAGCAAGACCGAGTTTCTGAGGTGCAGTTTTAGTGAACAATATACGCCCAACATAAGTGTCTCCATCGACGGCCAGCCACTGCCCTGCGTCAGCAAATTTAAATACCTCGGCTCAGTGCTAACAGCGGATGTCAACATTGACGCATACGTCACTCATAGAATTAATGCAGCGTGGCTAAGGTGGAGAACTCTATCAGGAATACTTTGCGATAGCAGGATGCCAATACAACTGAAAGGAAAGATTTACAAAACTGCTGTAAGATCTGCCATGTTATATGGTGCCGAATGCTGGGCGGATAAGAAGATCCAAAAAATGCATACGAATAAAATGAAAATACTACGATGGTCAGCAGGCGTAACGAAACTTGATAAAGTGCGCAACGTGTACATCAGAGGTGCCTTTAAAGTTACGCCCATTGTAGACAAGATGGTCGAGAGTCGTATGCGATGGTATGGGCATGTAATTAGGCGGGAAGAAGAACACCCAGTGAGGAAGGCCTTGGCAATTACAGAGAAAAAGAAAGGCAGAAGACGCCCGTTAGCCACGTGGTGAACAACCGTATCGAAGGATCTGGAACGAGCACAGCTTGAAATACAGACAACCCAAGATAGGAAACCTTGGCGCATAAAAACGAGGAAAGCCGACCCCAAACAAAGGAAAAAGACAAGGAAGAAGAAGAGAAGTCTTGATTTCGACTATGCATAGCACTAATACAATTGCCCTAGTACCAAGAAAATAGAAATTCTCGGCTAAAATGCGACCACAGATTACTATATACTAGTCTACGCGTGGGACGAAGAAAGGTGGTGTTGACACGCTAAGACAACTGCCAGAAAAACATGTAAAGTGAGACATTTGGGGTCATTGCGCATAATGAGATAAGGAATACTATCGTCGGCAAATCGAAGGTGAGTGATGTACTCGCCATTGATGTTAATGTTGTCCTTTTCGAGTCCAGTACCTTGAAAACGTCTTCTATTGCAGCGGTGAAGAGTTTCGAGGATATAACGGCACCCTGTCTTACACCTATCTGCACATGGATAGGTTTCGTACTCTGGTTCTGTATTCGAGAAAAATCGGTCAGTAGTTCTTCAAAAGAGCGTCGTCGCCTTTCTTGAAGAACAAGACCACCGCACTTCTGTTCTGCGAATTAAACTAGTTGAGTTTCTGAAGGACTTCAAGTACCGGTTTTCCACCCGCTTTCAGAAGCTTCGCTGTAATTCCATCCTCGCCTGGGGCCTTCTCCTTTTTAAGGTGCTGGAGAGCCTGGAGAGATCTTAGCGGTTAGCCACCGTAGAGTCTATATCACCTGAGGATGCCTCGTGTAGAGGCGAAACACGTGTCGTATTATCGTCAGTGGTGTGTCTTGCCTAGTGTAGTGGTGTTGGGAGTAGCGGTGCTGGGATTAGTGGTGACGGGGATAGTGCACGCAATTGAGGGAGGGCGGGAGGTGCTTCTTCATACTAAGTAAGACACATCATTTTATTTTATAACGCGGATATTTGCGAAGTAAATTTTTGTAAAAGCTTTTATAGACTGATCTCTGGCAAAGACTGGAGCCCTGGTTCCGCTCGACCGCTTCTTCAATACGAGCTGTATTAAGGTTGCGTAAGTAACGTCGCATGCATTTGGAGATCTCTATTCAGTTGCATGTATGCTGTCGAATCTGCCGTCAGGGCTCGAGGTTTCTAGAAAAAAAGAAGTTCATTATAAAGAGTCACTCTTTCTCCATGAAATCGAGTAGCTGCTGGCCCCTTCGGTTCCGTTGCCCTATCTTGATTGTTGCGAGTTGCGATTTCCCTACCTTCAGCTCACCGTTCTCTCTTGTAGGTACCTAGTTTTACGTTGAAGTATCTCATTAACACCGTGGGTTTTGGAGAAATGCATGGCTCTAGAGATATCCTCATACATGTCCTCCACATCCTCATCAGGATGTGCCGAGCTTGGTGCGGAAACATGTATGACCTTCAACGAATACCGTTAGGTAATTCTGAGTATAAGGTACACAACCCTCGTCGACACACAACACACAATCTTAACAACGTTGTTAACTCGACTTGTGGACGATAAATCCGACAACTTCTTGGGACAGATGGTCGCCCTCTCGCTGATAAAACAAATTGCCGGATTCAAGGATTACCGTGTCCTCATCCTCTCTTCGGACCTCAGATAATCCTATAATATCCCAGCGCAACTTGTCTATCTTTTCTTTCAGCTCCAGAATCTTCTTGTCAGTAGTCAGGGTGCGCACATTATATGTTGCCAGGTCGAGTCGTCTTAGGTGGCAACCGAACTTCCACCGGAGATCCTTAGCACCTTGCCCAGCCGTAGCTATGGTCACCACCGTAGCAATAGCTCTTTTTTTATTGAATAGGGTGACTAACGAGCACACAGTCCACCTGATGGTAAGTGGATGCTGTGGCCCATACACATCTATCTTTATGCTCAATTAAGAATCGAAATGCAGATGCGTTGTGACCCCTGAGGACTAAGACGGAATGCCTTATTTCCAGTAATAAGGGTCTCCGGTTCTCTACACTCGCCATACGAAACATTGCAGCATTAAGCTGCTATTTTACGCTAGTATTCTGTGAAGGGATGGTATGCTCATGGGGCGATGTTTGTCATAGTTGTCACGCTTGCAAGCGTCAAAACTATGGTCAACCCGCCTGCCATTCATGGCAACTATGGCATATATATAATCTAAATCTATAGGGAATGTTCAGCAGTGGACTTTTGATAGGCTTTAATGATGATGAAGTATTTTTCGAGTACGATCAAAATATAGGAAAGTAATATAAAACCATGTATATATATTACGATATTCTGGCTTTACTATTTTCTAACCATTCTAACCTAGTGATTCTAAACCTGATGATTTGTTGTGATGTAAGTAGTTGAAAATGGTAAAACGCACTCACTAAGCTAAACATAAGCCTTTTCTGTTGCCACACTCTATTTTGCCTTGAAGATTGCCTAAAGGATACCTATTGTAATTGGATTATTTTAGTGGTGCTAGTGGTGTATTTATAGAGTATTCTCATCTGTTTGGGCAGAATAAATATATAAAAGGAAATGATAAATATACATAAATATAATATATGTACTAACATAAATAAATAAAAGCCCAAAATAAATAAATAGGAAGCCCTCGGCAGGGGAGACCAAACGGCCGGCAGTTTGGGCGAAAGGGAAAGAAACCGGCGGACTATGCGCGCGGTGTCGAGGAGCACCGCCCATAGATAATACACTATATATGGCACCGCCTTCTGAATTCTGAATTTGGGTCCGGAGCGGTCCGTCACGGAGTCCCAGTCGCCTCAGATAACTCGAGCGAGATTAGCTGGATGACCGGGATTAGCCCGAACTGTTTAGTGTTTTTTTTTCCGTAATTAGTGTTCCTACTCAAAGAGTACCGCTTTTCGATATTAAGAGGTTATGTGGCCGGCGATTAGTTTACAAAAATGTTTTTGTCTGTTTTTTTTTATATTTGGATAAGTGTAAAGTGTCTAGTGTCAACTAGAAAATATATAAAATTTTAAGACAGAATCTATATCTCCCACTGCCATGTTTTATGTTTTTTCCTATAAATTAATTATTTTAAAAGTTTAAAAACCGTCTAAAATTATTTAAACTGTCTGGATATGTCGCCATTATTAGACCTCCATCAAAACCATTAAAAAACAGAAAATAAAAGAAAAACACAGATTGCCATAATGCCTTTCTATTTTATTATCAAAAAAATAAAATAAAAATCAGTCCACTTTCGGAGCAAGAAAAAGTGGAATGCGGAATAATAATTGCTAATTTTTAATACTCGTAGTTATAATCAGTCCGAGTTGCCTCGCTCGGTCGTGCGAGCTCAGCGTCACATGTTAAAACTCAGCAGTGTAGTGGCCTGACTAAAAAAAAATTGACTTCGTAATGCAACGCAGTGCTTAATTTGTAAATACTTGTTTCGTTTTTATTTTACTCGCACATACAAATAGGTTATTATAGTATATAGTTAGGTAATTTGTAAATAAACTCTCTTTGAATTCGGACATCGACGCTGTTTCGCTGAAGACTGCTGTTGGCCGACGTGTCGAACCCCATTTCTTTCCTGTTTTCCGTCTGTTATCTTAGGTCACATGGTACAGTTATAGGGAAATTAGCACATTAGGATAAGTGAGATTACAGCTTTCCCTACTATTTCCGTGTAACCGGCGAGCTATTGCAGCACACGAAACTACTTCATAGTGACACTTTAATAGACACCCAATGCAGTTACCATACTAATGTATCTTAAGATAGCTCGTTGACTCTACAATTGGTTATTCGAGCCGCCGTAGTATTCTGTGATGTATTCTATGCACGGGCATACATTAAATTTTTGTAGAATCAACCTACTTGATTCTACAAAAACCTAATTTGCAAATCCCGGAAATCCTATATAACTTTTCCTTTGCTCATTGCGTGCATGCATTGAATCGCCTTCTAAATTTGAATGACTAACTTAGGCAAAACTGTGTTCATTTAATCGAAATATCGTTGGGAATTAGTACATACGACCACACAGGTGTACCTATTATATTTTATATGTTAGCACCTAGCATTCTCTCTTGCCACAAGGAAACGTTTCCATGGCAGAATTATCTAATTAAAAAAAACCGACATGTGGCTTATCGATAGAGTGTTAAAATCGTCTTAAAGAGTCGAACTATATAATATAAATATAAAGGACTCTGATTGAGTTAAGAATTCTTTTTTGATGAATCCATTAATAAAACAAAAGTAACTATCAAATAGGTACCAACATTGAGTTATATGTACTACGTACTAGAGAAGCCATTCCAAACAAAAATTGTGTCCTACTCTATGTCTTTGCGCATGCGCGGGAGTAGTAGTCGCGCATGCGCGAAGTCTTTAATTTGATATAAAATAAGATATTAATATAAAATAAATATAAGAATTGTAATATGAATGTAATATGTTATTAATTTAAAAAATAATATCGGTAAAGAAAATAATTTTATATTGTGTATTTTAGATTAAGTTACGTACAAGTTTACTTTCAATGAATGTTTAAAGGTGGCATGGCTGAAATAATACGCGTTATAGATTGCACAAAACATTTTAATATAAACTTAAAAAGTCGTACAACAATATGAAAAATTATTATTGACTAATTATATTCGCGGGTATGGAGTACCGCATTTACTATATTATGCAAATATTATATTATCTTTAACACTTCCATCGAATATATTATCTTACAAAAGAAAGAAAATAAAAAGTTATCTTTATTAATAAAAAATCTCATTACGCTAAGTTGTATTATATTAAACTTACATTAATAGATTTTATCTACAAAATACTGTAGCGTTTTGGTCAGGTTTTCAATCGAGCCCGATGCATAGTTACGTAATCTTTTTAATAGGAATAGGGTATCGACAAAGTATTAAAATCATACAACTAGACTTAAATCTAAATCATCAAAATATAAAAATAGTAAAAAAATAGATGCAAATTCCCTATACACCTTGTCATTATTACGCGTCGGAACTTGAGGTGAGCGCCCACTAATGCTAACCGTTCACTAGGCAACAATGTGCAGCTTACTATTGCTTGTTTAAAATGTATGTATTCCAACAGATTACTGTTTACATAGCCGCGCGAAGTATTATCATTGGAACACACACATCCTCAATGGAAATTAACCACAAGTTGCCTAGTGATATCCTGGCCTAATACCCACCCACGCTACCCACACACTTGCACTCTGTACATTGCGCCCCGCACAGCCAACTACAACTACTACATATTTATAATATTACCTCGATTGAAACACTGAGCCCAATTGCTAAGTGAAATATAAAAAAGATAAATAACACATAGTACTTTATTTCCATGAATTTGCATGCACCCGTTATTTTATGAATTGAGAAATATTTTTTTCTATCATTTATTTATATTCATGTCTTTTATAACAATATTATATAAGTATACCGTACGGACTAAAGCCGACCCCCGTAGTGCAGTCGGCCGGTAATGTACACAAGGACTAATATCTTCTTAAAAAAATACTGTAGATTGAAACGTAGCTAGACCTATATTTATTTATATTATATTATAATTATTATTATAAGGGTACAATCGTACAAGTGATGATTAAACTAGGTGAGATCTCCGACGCCTTCGGGCGGCCCGCCGCGCCGTCCGACCGCGTCCGAACGGATATGCAAACATTTAGGTATTACACGAGTTACAATACATGCCAGTATACTATATACTTAGTAAGTATGAATTTCAATATTAAAAATACGTAATTTCTCTATTGGCATTTCGTTTCCACGTGAAAAATTAGACGATTCGCGTACGAATATATATATATATAATATGTATACATATTAAATATTAGTATTTTCTTAGATCGGAGGACGTATGTATAGAGGCTCGCTTAAGAAGGTACGTCGTCGTAAGCGCACGCGGCCACTTGGCCTCTCGCTCCTTACACCCTACGAACATTACATCGATATCGAACGAAGACACCAAAAACTCGAATCGGCTTATTTTTTAATATTACGAAAATAAATCGCCGACAAGTCGCGCGGCTGATTATTGCTTCTATCGATAAATTTACACATCGACGTAACGAACGAGAATACAAAAAGTTGTGGAAAATCGTACGGTTATCACAAGCGGCGGGCGGCGCGGGACGCCCCCGCGAAACATAAAAAAATAAACCGCGGCGCGCGCCTCTTTCGTAAAAAAGTAAAGACTCTATAAGGGCGCGAAGAGGTTAGCGCGCGACTCAGTTAGCTAGCAGGAGGTGTGCAGGGGCTTCGCGTCGCGTGCCGAAGTAGGCGCCCGCCTCGGCGCCCGGCGAGAGCGCACGCGCCGCCAGTTGCTGCTGCACGGCGCGCTGCTTGATGTAGTTGCTGAACTCAGTGGGCGACATGCGGTTGGCCCGCTTGCTGCTTGTTTTCAGCTTGGTGCTGCCGAACTTGGTCTGCGCGAAGGTGGCCGTGGTGAAGGTCAGCGGCTGAGCGCGGAATGGCGGCGCGGGCGAGAAGGCTGCCGGCGCTGGCGGCGACGGCGCCGCCGGCTCCACTGGCCGGAAGCACTGCGCCTCGGGGTTGAACGCGCGTGTTACCTGTAAACGCACGGACACATTATATTAGCTGCAGACCTTTCCAAATGCAAACAACGAGTAAAAGCTAAAAACGATAAATGGGGTTGCTGATACAATTTCTGATACCGAATGTCAAAAAAATATCATTTTTCAATTCAGTCATCATTGCTAGATTGCTCGCAGTCAATAGAGATATCCATTTTCCACCAAGCACCAAAAGTAATGAATTTTTATTTTTGGCGACATTTCTGACATTAGGTCGCGAGGATGAAATATTGAAGGAGAAGTATATTATATCACTATGGTTGTAATTTTTATATTCTCCGGTGTGTCTGGAAGTTTCAATATCATAACTTCATAACCAATCACTAAATAAAGCAACTATCATCTACTAGTGAGACAGCAGCTATGATTTCATGTTTAGATACAATTATTTTTAACAGAATATTTTTTTTTATTAACATGATTATTTATGTGTGTTTAAACGGTTCGAATATAATTTTTTATTTGAAACCACTACTTTACTTTTAACGCTGCTGTGTTTCGTATGGTGAGTGTAGAGAACCAGAGACCCTTTTTACAGGAAAAGAGGCATTCCATCTTAGTCCTCACGGGTGACAACACATCTGCATTTTGATTCGCAAACGAGGATAAATGTAGATGTCTATGGGCCACAGCAACCACTTAACATCAGGTGAACTGCGTGATCGTTTGTCACCCTATACTATTAAAAAAAAAAACCAACCTCTCTATCGGTCCTTTCGTCAGCTGCCCTCTCGTCGCTGCTGAAAAGTACCTTTACCGCACCCTTTTCACCAATGCGATAGGAAACTTCGCCTGAAAAGAAAATTAAAATAAAATTATATATAACAAATCGTTTAGTTTGTTACAATATTATGATTTAATAATTAATTTTTTATACATAAAATTGAAGTGACTAATGAACTTGGAGATTATGTGGCTGTCCATGGACACCTGCAAGCGAATTTAAACAAAGAAGATTACAGACGAGTTGTCACCTCTACGGACTGCCCCGGAGGAATGCCTCGCAATTAAAAAAAAGAGGATGTGAATATACCCAGACGGACTGCTAGGCAGAAAAATAGTCCTACAATCTAGAATTTATGTGCAAAGTATATCTTTTTCTAATCGTTATGCTTACTATAGTTAGACGAGTGTGATGGATTCATTTATTCCTCTGTGTGGTTGGAATGGCATATCATCGGTTTGGTTTGTTTGTCATACCATTTCACCGATCACTATGAGAGTTGGCACATGTATTTTTTCACGGAGAAGGTTTTAATTCAATTCGTCGTAACTCACCACTAGTTGGTGCTGCAAGATATCAACTTTTATACGGTTAAATCGATCGCCATGCATATTGGTATACACAGGCAGGACAACGTCTACCGAGCTTTGCTTGTATAATACAATTCGTAAATGCATTTCCTAAACGTCTAAACACTAGGTTACCTATACGAATAAGAAGCGCTAAGGAAATCTAAAAGCTATCGGTAATCGCTTGTTGGAAGTAAAGACTAGAAATGAGTTGGGGGGTAACTCGAACTTTAGGCATAGTCAGTTTGAATATCCTATCATGTTGAGGATGTCATGGGGGTCATGGTTGAATAGGGGCAAAACGTTCTCATTACACTCCTAGGGGGTCAAAATGGCCAAAAACCAAATAAATTTTAAATTCTTTTCTAAATTTCGGTTATAACTCCGCCTCCTTCGGAGGTTCTTACACAGCCTTTGCTTCCCGCATCACACTTGTTTATATCTCAAATAAGCTAGATATGTCAGTATATATTTTAGCTGTCAAGTAAAAATTAATTATGACTTGTTAAGAGGTCTACGTGTGAATAAACGTTTATATTATGAGCAACATCTTTATTCATACGCAGTGTTTCGCGAAGAAATAGATAGGGAAAACGTTGGATACTAAATAATTATTTTACGTGCTCGTAAAATTGAAAACGCACATAGAAAATTATATGTACTTGTTGACAGGGCAGTGCTTATATTAAATTAACCTGACCTCGACTACTTAACGCCTTATGCAATGACACGAGCACGACCATGTTTGATAGATGTTACTTTAGTTAGTATGTTGTGAATTATGGACAGGTTGCAAAAACGTTTTGTTCTCTACACCTTGTTTATAAACAAGTACAACAATAGTATTATGTTCAACATTTTCTTTATAGTTATTGAAAAATAATGAAAACTATTTTATAATTTGAAACGCATTTAAAATCTTACCTGGATCAACCCAAACAGCCAGATCTCTTGGGAGGTGTTCAAGCACATCGCGGACCGGCACGCCAGACTCCCGCGCTGCTCGCTCTAATACAGGGTCCAGAGGACCCCCAGTTTTCAAGCAGCGGAACGCTGAGCCCCTGCACGGCCTGTCTGGGTACCAGTGACCCCGGAACTTATCCTTGAGCGCCTTTTCCAGCTCTTCACCAAAGATATTTACACGCCGCCTTGGCAGCTTGTTGTACAAATACGATATGACAAAGTTGAGGGCGACTTGTACTTCAATATGCATGTTTGGTATCACTGTAAACAAAGAAAAAATAATAACATTAATTATAATAATTAGGAAATGAGTATAATTAACCAATTTTTAGGTGGTAGAGCCGTGCTGCAGATATATTATAATTGCAACACGAATGGGTGGGCTCGATCGGGGTAAGACCACGCTCTCACAGAATACTAGCGTGAAATAGCTGCTTAATGCCTCTTATGTTTCATACGGTATGAGAACCCCTTTTATTGGAAACTAGGCATTCCATCTTAGCCCTTAGAGGTGAGAACGCATCTACATTTTGATTATTTATTGAGGAGGATAGATGTTTTTGATGTCTATGGGCCACAGCATCCACTTACTATCAGGTGGACTGTGTACTCGTTTGTCAACCTTATTCAATAAAAAAAAGTTAGTGTGCAAGAGAACTCATTCAGTTGCTTCATTCACAGGGCTTCCGATAGGTGGCAGTGTCACCATCTCTTTACGCCAGACACAAAAAATAAACTGTTGATTGTTAGCACCGTCAAAGGTGACGATTAGGGCAAACGTCTCTACAATGACGAAGGCACATTTCCAGAAGTGGACCTTTACGAGCTGATGATGATGAAGAATCAATAAAATCGTATGTTCTTACTAAAGTGACTACCTACATATGTGTCCTACTGTTGCGCAAACGCCTACTCTCATTTATGACAAGGTTTTAGGACTAGGTACAGACCGTTGTGTGGCTTCCCTTAAGCCATGTAGTTGCGATGTAAGCGAATCCATTACTAAATATTATCCCGTGGATGTCGTAACAGGCAACAGAGAGAAGTGAGACAGGATATGGACTCATCATAAAAAAATTGCGGTTACCTGCCCGCTTGCTTAGCATGGCAACTGTGGCAAATATGAGGTAATCGAGTGTACGCCTATGTTCTGCAATGGACTTTTATGGGCTGTAGTTATTATTAGAATGCGATGTGGTGCTGCCTTGTTTAGATGAACTGAAGTAGTACGAGTATAAGTAGAGTACGGTGCGCTGTCTCAACGCGTGTTGGCAGACTTCACCGCTTCTTTCACCTCGACTTTTTTTTTAATTTCGTGGATCCGTCGATTATATGACGTGGTAAATCAGTACTTAAAATTGTAATTAAGAATTTCATTGGTGCCATTGGGCATCGCACTCAATTCTGCTCGTGCACAATTAATATAAAGGATAAATACTACTTGAAGTTACTTGAGCTCCCTCGGTTAGTAATTATGAAATATTTTTTAAAATTTATCTAATTTGTTTAATATGAAGTACTACTCCAAAAAAGTTATTCCTGATGTTTTATGTCCGCGTAAAAACTACAATGCTATGGCCTCTGCGGCTAACAGCCGTGACAATGGATGCTTATCTGACTACCACTATAATCCGAATGAGTGACCTCCTGCAATTGCAAATCATATTGCTTCCGTCAATAATGAATTTAGTTACCGCGCTATCGTTCATGGTTATAATCGATTTAATTACGCGATATAATCGCAACGAACGAATGAAAATCGTTTCATTTATTTTAGAATCCGGAATAACATGTGGGATGTTAGTTTGAAGAAAATTTCTAAAAAATATTTTACTATTCTTTAATTTGAAATTTTAATATACCTACATCCTTTACAATCATTTACATAATATTTTGCTTCCCTATTAAATTATATATATATCTAAAGCAGTTAAACAATTTTAATTGTATATCCGTAACCGAAACCATATCCGAAACAATTGGAAATAGATTCCCATCTATATTCACGATGATGGTGCTGATGATAACAACAACGAAGAGCATATTTTACCGGGTTTGGCGGAATTCAAAGGAGATTAATGTTTTTGACTAGTATGCATGTCCGTTTCTATAAATTTAGATATATATATATGGGTAGACATATATATCTAAATTTAGTCTTCTAGTTCAAGCAAGTGATATCTCAGGCGATTTATCTGCAACATTGACTATATTATGACGTCATTTTAAAATTAATATACGCTATTTCTTATTAATTTCTTCTCAAAACAAAAACTTACAACTTAAAAAATAATAAGCAAATGTATCGTATAATATATGCTATCATATAAAAAGTACATTCAAAATATGTGTAACTTGTAAAAAATTAAATTCTTAAACGAGTTATACCACTGCAGTCGAGTTCTTGGTATTTTATTAATAATTTACTTGGTAAATATATTTTTGGAAAAGATGGAAATTAAACGAGTCACTCGATTAATTTTGTTTACTCTTAAGTGCTCTTGGAAAAATTGGGCTGGCTTTATATTTATTGTAATATAGGTAAATATATAAACTTTTAAGTACCTACACATCTATTTCTTTTTTATTTTCTAACACAATATCTCCAAGTAAACTAATTTTGTTGTCATTTTTTTATAAATATTGTATGAAAATTTCAACCAGATCGGAAGATAATTGAATTGTGGATTTAGATTTAAGAGCGTTAGTTTGCGAAAGCATGAGCCACGTAGTAAACAAAAACAGTATAAATAGCAAATATTATAGACGAAGCTGAATCTTTTTATAGTTTTTATTTCTAAGCGTACGTATGTGATTCATTCAGTATTGCAGCATAAAACGAAACAATTTCGCTCCACAATGTTGTGATATCCGGTCAACGCTCCCGGCCTTAGTCCGCCCATGAATCGTTCGCTGTCGTTTCAAATACAAAATTAACATCGACCTTCTGCCACGACCACTGTCAGTGGGAGAAAATTCTCTTTAGAACTGTGACGATCAACTTTCGATAAAAAAGAATATTCGCATAGTACCATGTTCTAGTTGATTAGGGACTGACTTTTTAATTGCCATATAAAAGTTATCAATCAATTTATGTCCTATCTGAATATAAAAGCGAAACAATTGAACTATTTCCTCATATAGGTACTTTTTTAATTTATTTATTTTGTATTTCGTCCCATGAATGTATGTATGATGTCATAACTTTTAATAATTGAAAAATAAGCCTATAGTTAAATACCGCTATCGAAAGTTATCTGCTGAACTTACTTCAGGGATGAGATATTTATTTAGTTGCCAGGCTTGGCAGTTCGCAATTTGGCAACCGCAGTTTCTTATTTATAGCTGTTATTAGGAAGACGCTGCTGCCATCGCCTGATTTGTTTCCGTCTGTCGTCTCTTACGACTCCCACGGATCGATATGGGGTAGTTGATATTCTTACACCGCCACTACACGGTCAAATAAAGTTGGTTACAAATAATAATTTAGTTTTTCTTGGAACGCAGCTAGGTTTCTTACTTAAAATATTATATCACTTAACGTATGTTTGATTTAATTTAATGTTTAAAAAATATTCTAGAAATTCCTTTCGAGGGGTTTCCATACATAAATTGCTCTCGTACATACATATATCCACACCCGGAACAACTATTTGGAGACCATAAAATAATTATTTCGTAAGGGATTTGAATCCGCGGTCCGCTAGTGCCTCACGAAACACTTAGCCATTGTTAGAACTGCAAAAAATCTAACCAATGGGTAGGTCTGTTGTGGTGTCATCCTAATTCGAAATCCATATTTCGTAGTGGACTCTACTGCGACTCAGTTTATATGTCATGTGCTTAAGCAATTGGAATTAATAATTTTATACGTACATTTTGCAAGGAAAATTTCCGTTCACGTGTAGTATATTTGTATCTCTATAGTACAGAAACGGTCGGGTTATTTGTGTGCTCTTCTGATCACATGTTTGAGTGTCCGTGACTGTCGCAAAAATATTTTTAAGTAGATATTAACGTGGAAACGTTATTAATGGGTTGAAGTAGTTTTTTTTTTCTGACTGTGTTGTATTGATAATTGTTTTATATGTAAAATGTAAAAAAAAAACCATAAAAGTAAAGTTACAGCCTATATACGTCCCACTGCTGGGTACAGGCCTCTCATTTCTGAGAGGGTTTTAGGGTAAGGAAATGGCCGTGGCGCTGCCCTAATGCCTGTTAGCGAACTTCACGTCTACGAAATATATTTTTCTTATTTTTAAATCAACACTTCAAATTGCAATTAACAATTTTTTTTCGTGTCGGCGGATATCCGAATCCGACCCGGGTTGCTGGCGTACTGTGAAATATACAGCCAGCGCGTAGCCCTTGAGCTACCACGACTCTCCACTAAAAAAAAAATAATAAAAAAATCATATATTATTATGATTTTACTAAACATATTCAAACTTGTTATGGCTTAAATAATTATCAACATCAACCAGTAAACCCATCATATTAGGGAGGATTTGCAGTAATGGTAACGTATTTAAGATCGTCATATCATAATATTAAATAAATATGTTGTTCTAATTTTCCCCTTTTGATTTTAATTGTTTATCCTCCCAAATTATAACATTACGTACATATTATAAACATATGTATATACATGTATATAGCTGGAGAATAATTTAAGAAGAATAATATTTTTGTTCTTTTAAATACTCAGTACAGAGAGGAAAGTGAAGGAAGTAGGCCTACCATTTTAAATTCTTCTTAGCAATTTTTTTAATAATTCAATTATAAAATCCAAGTATTGATATTCTTACATGAAAGTCTATTTTTAGTAACTTAAATATATAGCTTAAGTAGAAGAAACTAACCAGTTTCAATATTTTCTCAGAAAGCAGTGTATAATTAAATTTGGGTGTAGTGTATATTTAAGTTTTAAAGTTAATAAACTTTGAGTTTCATTTGTTTTCTTTATAGCCTGAAAATAGAAGGAAAGGTATACGCATATCAATTAAAAATACACAGCGATAAGGTTTTTCAATAAATGGATTTTTATCACCATTCTACTATGTTAGACCAGGGGCTAAGCTCTCGTTCACCACAAATATCATAGTACGTTATCAACCAGGGTTCAATTCCGCCGTTTTTTTAAAAAACTGAAGTGACAAACAAACTTACAGTTCACTCTAATTTTTTTTATAGGATAGTGGGCAAACGAGCATACGGCTCACCTGATGGTAAGTTACTACCGCCGCCCAT